AATATGCAAAAAGAGCATGCATAATACAGGGATGATCTCAAAAAAAATCGTGGGGTGGTGTGACTAAAATTATTTTTATGTGATGACCTTTTTTTTTTTATTGTCTATGCGTCCTCTTCATGGAAAATTTTTGGATCCGCCACTATTATGACACTCTTCTCCCCCCCCCCCCCCCAAAAAAAAAAAAAATAAGTTTGTAAATACGCCATTGATTACTTGTATTTAATGAATGCTAACACTTTTATGAATAAAAAAAAAAAAAAAAAATGAAAAAAATATTTATTATCTATATTATATTAGTAGGTACCTAGTACCTATCTATTTTTTTCATTTTAAAATTAGGTATTAACACAGGCCCCATTTTTATGTACAATACGACACACAATGTGCACCACGAATTTACAAGTGAGCACTACGATTTGAATGTGTGTGCACTACGGTCTATAAAACAAAAACTAAATAATATGCCAGCTACTAGAAAATATTAGTATTTCCAGCATTTTTTAAATTTAAATTATACTGAATTATAATTTTTTTCTTTTAATTTTCAAACATTGCTATAAGTCAAAAGTATTTTTTTGTTGTATTAAATCATTATATACATATATATGTAATACATTGCTTTTTCCATTTAAACTGCAGTAGCAAGAATCAAATCTCCGTTTAAAGCAGTAAAATTAAATTTGCAGTCCGAAATTTAACAAATATTAGGGCCTGTATTAACATATTTAACACATTCTGCTGTAAAATGAGGCAATTATAATATGTAACATTAAAATATAATAATAAAACCCCATTTATTTTCAAATTAATGAAAATTAATTGAGCACTATTAACTAAAAATACTTAAAATTAAATTGTGATAATAATAAGTCCAGTTGATTAATCCACCGGATCCCTCAATACCCAATCCTCCCCTGCAGATTTTGCTTGTTCTTCTCCATCCATCCATCCCTTCCTGCTAATATTACTCTCTATGGTTTATCTGGTTGCATTATTTTCACATAAATTGTTTAACAGTCTTCCCAGTGGTTTCTTACTTATAGTAGTGTTTTAAGTGTTTTAGGTAACTATAACAACTATTGAATCTATTTTCGCTGCCATTTCTGTTTAATCTATTTTACAATATGCAATTATAAAATATTTCAACGATTTTGTTAGTCGATAATCTTGTAAAAATTAATTTATGAATTAATCAATACGAAAAAAAACAATAGCTCTTTGTTAATAAAATTTATAATTTTGTTAACCGCTATATAAGCGTATTTTGGTACTGCTAGCCGGTCGTCGTCTTGTCCGTCGTCGCTCAACATAACGCTCAGACACCCGTTGAACTACTAAGATCGCATCAGCGACCGAACTCGCGTCGTCCGCAAATCCGATCGCACCGCGGGTAGTCGGAGAATGCACTCTGGTGACTAACCGTCGGGCACCATGCATGCTCTCTCTCTCATCCTTCGTCACCTCAAGTCGCCGTCGTCCTGGCCATCGATGTCTTCGATAAAAGGTGTGGGGGTGGTTCCTGTGGACGCAGCAGCAGCAAAGGAACGAAGCGATACGCTTGACGCGTTTCTACGCAGCCGCTAAACGCTTTCTGCAAGATTTTTTGCAAACTACTGCGCCTGGATCGGGCTCATCTGCCAGGATCACCATCGTAGTTCCTATTTCCGCAACTTTCGTCGATGGGCCGTCAGCTGGTGGGAGATCTTCGATGACTTCGACAGTAAACGGAGTTTCGATAATTCGGAGGAGAGTTGTTAGGGATCGGTTGACCAACCTCTGATTCCGTTTCCACAACTCGCAAATCCTCACCCGGTTCTTCGCATAATAACAGTGCAATTATATCCTCGATAACTTCTTCAACCACCGTTGAGATTTCATCTTCAGGACTGTTAAAGACGTTCTGTATATGTATAACGTTTTCGATTAGCTCTTTTAATATCTCTTCAATGGTGGTGGAGATAGACATAGCAAGATGTAATTTAATTGTTATGAAATTAGAGTACGGATTTTTATACACTAAAAAGTATCGGAATATGCAATAAAAATCATAGAAATATGTAAAAAATATGTAAGAAATTTTTTTTTTTATTTATATAAAATTTACAAATTAAATAACTTACAATAATTAATTATTTAAATAAACTAAGTATATAAACAATTTTCGTTTCAATATAGAATATATTTCGAATTTTGTAAAAATATACAGAAATATACAAATAAAATTTCACCATCGGATTCAAATTATTATGATTTGTGAAAATAATTGAAAAATATTTAAAAAAAATGAAAAAGAAAATAATAAGCGATTGCATGGTTTTGTACGGCGACTAACAATATTTGTCCTTAAAATATTACTATGAACATCGGAAATAATACATACAATACCAAAATTAGTTATGCAAAAATCGTATATTATGCACCAATTAATTATGTGGCGCATCGGGAAAATTCCTGGTGTCCCGATAGACCATTGCGGGCCTGCAGGGTATAGTGGGTATATATTATATACTTATCAGTTATCATTTTCAAGAATTTCAAATGTTACCTTTAGTTTTAATTTAATTATTTTAAGTTAAATTTTAGCTGGGTAGAAATAAATTGTAGTTATTGTCAGCTGTTTATTTGATTAAATCTCATTATAAATCCTTAATACCATGATAAAATATTATTTTAAAAACAAAATTAAAATTAATAAAATATGAAAATTGATATAGGATATTGAAATACAATGATACGAAAATAATCATTTAGTATTTTGGAATAATATAATACGAAAAAAATGTATTTAAAATTAATTTGTCAAAAAGTATTTAAATAGGTACTTAAATAGTTCTATGTCCAATAATTGAAAAAAAGTCATTGATCAACACTCAATGTTTCTATCTCTTTAACATTGACATTTATAAAACAATCAAAATATCAAATAGTAATTAATACCTACGTCTTACATTGACACATTGCCATTTGTTACAAATCGGGGTGAGTAACCGACATAACTATCGATTATCGATGAGTTACAACTTCAATTGTCGTTATGGAATATTGGAATGAGAAAACAATGAAACAAAGACTTTAATGACTTATTGATTAGTCAATCAAAATAATAATATTTTAATTTTTATAGTCATTATTTGGCAATTTGATTAAAGATAGAATAGAATAGACTATCTATGATAGTCTAATGATAGTTATATTACCAAGCCGAAAAAATAACTAAAAATATATGAGGAATCTTGCATTGAATTTTAAAGTTTTTAAACTGAGTGAAATTTTTTTTGTTTAGTTTTTGAAAAAAAAATCGAATACTTCACGTGCTTAAAAATAGTTTTAAAAGAGTACAAATTTAACAGAAGTGTTTAAAATTTTAATAGAAACATTAAATTTGATATTAATTTTAAGTATCAACGTTTATTAGTTTTTGAATTAAAACAAAAAAAAAAAAAAAAAAAATAAGAAATCGTTTTATGGAAAACTTATTACCTGAATACTGAATAGTAGGTATCAAATATCTATCGTTATCCGTGGCCCACAATCTACTTTGTACCGTAATACAGTGTAACTTTGGGTTATTCCGTAGATTATGACGTCCTGTGATGAAAATTGACAAATGAGTAAATGAGTAAATAACCATGCAATACTAATAAAATCTCATGTTAGTAAGTTACTCATTGTGAATAATTATTCAATTTGTGATTATATTTTATATTTTAAGTTTTTAACGTAATATTCAGTAATCCAAGAGAATGATTCTGTCTAAAAATCAGGATAATATAATATAATATTTCCGATGTGTTAGTGTCGCGCTCTGTCGGTATTTTGGCTATTTTGCTAGTTTCTTATTATCGAAAACGTCAAAATGATAACGATGAAACGAAACCGCAGTATCACACAACGACCAACGACGGCGATATATGTCTGTTATTATGAGTATTGACTATTGAGTGATGGCTGAGGATTGACGAATTGAGCCGGACTACCTAAGTCTAGTCGACAGTTATACACATGCGTCTTGCATAATACTGTGTTACGACGAGTTTTTGATATTTTATTAATTTATTATCTCGAGGATATTGTTTGCATTCGAAACGATCGGGTTGTTAGATTTTGTGCGAATTTGTTTCTCCGTTGAGGTAATGTCATCGTTAAATTGTATCCTTTTCGAATCGTCCATCGGCTGTTAGCTGATATACCAATCTACTTCCACTGCGTCTACGAGTCGTCTCCTTCAAGATGAGCAAACCAGATTTGAAATTCGAACTGCACAAAAAATATTTCCATCGCTCGTTGGACTTGTTGCCCGGCGAGAGTGCAGTGTTTGATTATTCGCGGCTCACCATTCTGTATTTCGCGCTCATTGGTTTGGATATATTGGACGGCTTAGATTCGCTCTCCGACGACCGCAAGAAAGACATCGTCGAGTGGGTGTACAGGTTGCAGTTGGTACCCAACGAAAATTGTTCTGTGCACAAATGTGGTTTCATGGGTTCCACCACCATCATTCATTTGAAGAATCATCCAGGTTCAGAAAAGTATTGTGAAAGTAATGTTGCTATGACATATATGGCATTGTGTATTCTGATTACAATGGGTGACAATCTGAGTCGTGTTAATAAGTCGGCTGTACTTCAAGGTGTAGCATCTCTGCAAAAACCCGATGGCAGTTTCAAAAGCAACTACGAATATGGTGAGAGTGACTTGAGATTTGTGTACTGTTCACTTGCAATATGCAACATATTGAATGATTCTTCAGGTATTAATGTAAACAATGCCATTAAATTTATTTCAAAATGTCTGAACTACGATGGAGCATTTGGACAAAACCCAGGAACTGAATCGCACGGTGGTTCTACTTATTGTGCAGTTGCATCGTTATCTCTGTTAAATAAATTAAATATTGTTTTAGATGATAATAAATCAAGAATATTAGAGCGCTGGGCAGTAAATCGACAAACCAAAGGTGGTTTTCAAGGAAGACCTAATAAAGAAGCGGACACCTGTTATTCCTTCTGGTTGGGTGCTACACTCAGTATTATAGGATCATTAAATAGAATAAATCCAGAGAGAAATAGGGCTTTTGTTCTACTTAATGCCAACTTGATAACTGGTGGATTTAGTAAAAACATGGAGTCTATACCAGATCCAATGCATACCTGCTTAAGTTTGTGCGGATTAAGTTTGATTGGTGAAGAAAACCTAAACCCTATTAATCCTGCATTAAATATTACCGTGAGGGCAACAAATTATTTAAAGCAAATTCAAAGAGATTGTATTTCACCGAACAAAGATATATTAAATTCAGATAATGATAATTAAATTATCTATCTATATTAAATGTTAATTTTTAAGATAAAATAAAATAAGCGATTAGTCAACTTAAACTATGACTGATTTATACTTTTTTTTTACAACTATGACAATTAAAAATATATCAAATAAATATGTCTCCTATATTATTGTTAATATTAACAAATTGAACATTATTTTCTATTGAACTTTTCAGATTTAACCAAGTACCAGCGAATTCTCATTTGTGTTGTAAATTTAAAATATGACAATCTGTTAAATAATATGATAACTAAAGAATTGTGTCTATATCATATTTTGTTCTATTGGTTATAACTTTTTTCTGAAAATAAATCTAATAACACTGAGTTTAAAGACTATTATTTTGTATTAAAATATTACACAGAATATTAGAGTGTTTTTTGAAATGATTGATAATTAATAATTATTTTGAATATTCTTTTCTTGATACCGATTACCAACCAGTTGCTTGTTTTTGATAATCATTTTATGTCAGATACAATGATATTTTTGTTTTCTATGGGTGGAGATCTTAACTACGTTGTATAATTTTTTCTTATGCTTTATAAATTTATTTTGCTCTATAACCTGTTACATTACAGGTAATTCGTAGTTGTGGCTTGACATTAATCTTAATTTTTTTTTCAATTTGTTTTTTGTACCTACCTAATTAGACAAAATAAATAATACATTTTTATCTATTAATTATATTATCTATATCAGATCTGTGTTCTGTAATGATCATGCATCAGCTGTTACTACTGAAACATTGGTATGAGCTGGAAGTTAGAAACGGTAATACTGATAGCATATCAATCATAGACTTGGCTTTAAGGACAATTATTTAATTTTACAAAACTCCTTCAAAAGTTATTATTTTTTACTTAAAAGTTAAAGCTTAGAAGTATTTAGACGATTACTTTTAATTTTTTTTTAGGTACAATACGTTGAAATCTTTCAATATGAATTTAGCAACATTAACAAGAGCTGGTAAGAACTTATTTTTTTTTTTTTGTATAAAAATGTATTTTATGTGTCAATGATCAAACTCAAAACTACCTTCCAACCAAAATCTATTTTCTATGAATGAATATGGTTCAAATTATTTAACGAATATTAAATTAATATTAGTTATTGAAATTAAAGAAGAATTGACTAGGTACAAATCAATATTAAGAAAATATAGATAATGGAACTTACAAAGAAATGGAAGACTTTATATATGAAAAAGTTTATATTTATAGGTATTTGAGATCAAAGTTTTGCACTATAAATGACTGATGAGAGGAAACAAATATTTGAATAATAAAGCCTAAAAAACGTTTTATGCACTAATGAAATTCTTAAAGATAAATATCGTGTTTAGAACAACAAAAGTTGGATTGTACCAGGTGCAGACCAGCTGGGGTACTACAGTATCCCTCTTACCCTAAAATTTATTTTCGCCTATCGGTATAAATGTGTCTTAATGTTTTTACTTTACAACTATAGAATTTTGTGAAATCGATTATTTTTCATAATAATGTACAATTTTGATTGGATGTGAGTTGGAACTTGGTGCCTATTTAATTTTTAAACGTGTTTTCAATATTTTTATAACAAAATTTAATATTTTATAAATAATCTATGTATTTTAAATTTTCCAAAAAAATTTTGTTATTTGCCCTTAAAATTATGTAGCATTGTATGCCTTTTTTTTTTTTATCTGTCTGCAGCTGGATTGTTCTTAACTATTATAAGACTTACCCACATTTATGATTATTAAGCTAAGACGATAACTATACAGAAAAGTTTGAGAATTTTTGAAAACATGGTATAGTAGAAAATATGTTGACTTATCATTAATAAATTAATAGGGAACTCGAAAAGGAGATATAACAAAGAGTTATACAATATGATAGAACTCTAAAAATAGCCTCAATAACAAGCGTTGTTAATGATCAAAGAATATAATGGTTAAGTAATTTGATGAGAAGAAGAGTGAACAAAATAATTGAAATGGAAATCACAAGAACGATTTAGAGGAAGATTCCCAAAATAATGAATTGATTTGGTAAAAGAATATTTAAAAACTGGAGAAAAAATAGTGTAAGATAGAGGCGCAAATAGTAGTATAATAATGACAAAAAAAACTCTTAAAAAATAATCAGTTTAGTCAATATACCAGCAAAAGAAGAAGAATTAAAAGTTAAATTAAAGTTATTTTAACATGTATATACCAGTTGCCTTATTTTACCTTAACTATTGTCATACTACATACAATTAATATTATTTTTTTAAAGCAATGTAATTTAATATACCTAATATATAATATATAGCAATATTGTTCTACAATAATTGCCTTAAATTTTTATAATTTTAATAATTAATTTAAAAAGTTAAATAAGTAGTTGTGTGTAATTGAATTATAAATAGTCAAGATGTTATTGTATACCATTATGTTCATTATTTTTACAGGTAATACAGTTCTGCGATCAACTATTCGGGTACCATTTAGATTAGCATCGCAAATCAATTATATAAATGTTAACAGAGATAATGAATTTGAAAATTTAAGTTGGGGTGCCATGTCAGATCAAGCTATTTCTTATGCATTTGTTACTGAACTATGTAGAGGTAAATTAAGAAAATTAATGTGAATTATGCTAATTATTTTGAGCAGATATTTAGAATAAAATTTTTTTTTTTTTGATATATAAATGTATATTTATAAGTGCATATTATAATTCCATTCTTGAATTACAGATCAACAATTTATTTTGACAAAATACAACCTATACATTTTGTTTTCTGTACATTAGACACATGCAAAATAGAGTAAATTTGTGAAATATTTATTTTGTTGCATATGTGTCTGGTATAGAAAATGAACATGTATAGAATTGTTTTAATAATAACAATTTTGATAAATTGTCTACTTTCAATTATAATGTAAAATGTATAGTAAACTTATTAAATAAATGCTATAATCTATTTCAAATAACAATAAATTAGCTGCTCAACCAATTTTTATTTGGTGATGTATAATCTCTTGTAATTGTCCATAATTTTTTTTTCCACATAGTGGGGGAAATTAGGCTGTGAGCAATTTACAAACCAGTATATTTTTATTTAGAATATAGTAATATGTTTTTTTTTAATCCAAGCATACATGTTTTTAAGTCTTACTGATAAATGCTGTTAATTGTTCTCTTAAAATAAATTTTATTCTTAGGTGCTGCTGTATCATTGGCTCATTTCTTCAAGGAACCAGCCACTATCAACTATCCATTTGAGAAGGGACCTTTATCGCCACGTTTCCGAGGAGAACATGCTCTTAGACGTTACCCATCTGGCGAAGAGAGATGTATTGCCTGCAAATTGTGTGAAGCTATTTGTCCAGCCCAAGTAAAATTACTGTTAAAATTTTTGTATATTGATACGTTTTTTATATACGTATAATATGTATGATTTATGTAGGCTATCACTATTGAAGCAGAAGAAAGAGCTGATGGAAGCCGCCGTACCACACGTTATGATATTGATATGACTAAATGTATATACTGCGGTTTTTGTCAAGAAGCATGTCCTGTAGATGCTATTGTTGAAGTACAATTAAATGTGGTTATGATTTTATCAAACTATAGCTTAATATCTGTAAACATTTTTCAGGGTCCAAATTTTGAATACTCTACTGAAACACACGAAGAACTTTTGTACAACAAAGAAAAGTTATTAAATAATGGTGATAAATGGGAATCAGAGATTGCTGCTAATATACATGCTGATCATCTATACCGTTAATACTAATAATCAACTTAGTAAATATATGTGTTTAGTTTTTCTTCATTATAAAACAATACGTATTACATAAGTTGTAACTTCATGCTTAATAATATTCTTAAAATAAAATGTATAAAATATCAAATAGATAAAAATGTTAGTTATTAAAACTGTTACAGCCTATAAAATAATATAATTCTAAATTTAGTTTCATTCAAGTTTAAAATTGTTGCATTGAATTATTTATTATTATTTTTTAGTATATATCTATTAAAAAATCTTAACATAATTTTTATTCATTTTTTTGAAAAATGAAAATTTATTAGTTAAACTTTTAACTTAAGGTTTCATACTCTAATCAATAATAGTAATATCTTCAAATAAAATAAATATTGTTTTTCAATTTTAGAATAACAATATAGAAAACATCTAAAAAATAATAAAACATAGATGTTTGCTTTGTTAAACATAGCTATTGTTTTAAATATTCAAATAACCAATTTTAATAATGTAATTAATTATACTTTATGACTAAGAGTAACATTGCAAGTTGAGCAATTATTTTGGTAATTTTATATTTGGGAAAAATTATCTCTGTATTATTTTACTTCAGAGTTAGTATGGACTTAACTAGAAGTGCAATTTACCATTTCACAAAATGTTTTTAAAGGATGTTATTAAAACTGGATACATCAATTATTGGACACATTGTGTTTGTACTATTCATTTTAATCAAAAATAAATCATTAAATAGGCATTTTATTATGTTTATGAAATATCAAAATGTCCGTGTTTGAAATTTCTACTAAAACGTTTAAAAGTTCATATATTTATAGAACTAAATAATGATTGTTATACCTACCTATATTATAAAATTGACTTTTTTTTAAATTGATATGTTCGTATTAATGTAAATTTTAAATTATAATAATATGAACATATTTACATAGTTATTATAGATTTGAGAGAGTATACAGTTAGAAACCCTTGAAGTAGTATTGGAGTAAAACCGGCGGAGTTAAACATTACGAGAGTTTATGGGTCGTTAAAATTGGGAGAGCTTACATTCTTACAATCGCCTTCTCAGCTAAATTGTTGGTTTAGAAATTATCAACCATAGTACTAATATAAATATACACTTGGTTATGATATTTATCATTTAATAAATACGTAACCAAGGAAGTCTCATTAGAATATTTCAAAAAAAATTTTAATATTCAATCTTAACATTCCAAACATTAAAAATTATTATTTCTAAAAATAGAAATTACGAAAACGACATGTAATTTACTGATAAGTGTACAATCACATAGAAAAATAGGTGCAGAAAGTACAGAGTATAATTAAAAAAGTACATTTTATCGTCGAATGTATAGCTGTAAGTAGTAACTGGACATTGGTCATTAAAAACAATTAATGATTTAATGTATTATATTTTGTATAAAAAATTATTATTATTCTGTACCTACTAAATAGTAAATACTAAATAGTAAATACGGTTGTGTCACATATCTATATTAACATTAAACGCTATTGGTCGGGTTCCTAACAGGAAACAGGAAATCCGATAGCAGATGGCAGTTGGGCAGTAAATTACTACCTATTGTGTTACGTGTAGTTGCAGGTGACAGGTGAATTCATTCGTGCGTTGACTCTTGAGTGTTCGGATGTATAATATTAAACTATAATACTCGTTCTCGATTTTATTTGTCGTATGTGCTATTTTGTGTTAGTTTCGATGCAAATACTCAATGTTTCATACCACGTACAACGACGTTTTGGCCGTTTTTGGTGTCTCGTAGAGTTATAAATATTACTTTCAGAATCAATTAATATAAACCTATTATTATAATTATTATTATTATTGCTTGTACAATATTTTCGCTTTTACCGTTCGCGATGGACGAAGACATACGATATCAGCGTCTTCCACAATCATTCTCCGTCAGAGAACTCGGATCTTCCGAGGCCAGAGGCTTATGGGGAATCAAACACACGCGGAAACCAGTCGATTTAATGGTAGCAAAAGCTAAAAGCTCGTCAACTCCCTTACAGCCACAAGTCGAACTACGAATCACCGAAGACGGATGTGAAATTATTGGAGACAAATTTAGAAAAGTTTTCCCCATTCACACGGTTTCTTATGGGGTTCAAGTTAGTACAACATTACGTTGATTATTAATTATAATAATAATACCTACTGTGCACGTGTTATTATGTAGCTTTATTAACACAGAACATTTATTTGTTTTTGATAAAAGTGAAAATAAATAAATGTCACGTCCATAGGATTTGGTTTATACAAGAGTTTTCTGCATGATAGTCGTTAAAGAACACATTAGTACTGACAGAAAACCATTTGAATGTGTGGCGTTTGTCTGCGAAAGTCGTCAAGCTGCGAGGAATTTGACTTATACTTTAGCTACAGCGTTTCAAGTAATTTAAATTATTTATTAATTAATAAAAGTACATAATAATTTATTTTTTTTAAATTATATGGTACTAAGTGGTAGTTAATTATTAAAATAAAATAAAAATATACATGTATATTTTAGCTATTAATGTAATATGTTTATCAATAAGTCAGTAACTGTAGGTACCCATTACGTTATATTTTTATAAATTCACCTAATAAAATAATATCTAAATATTTTAATATTTTATGATCGTTTTTACATTATTTATACGTATTCACCTGGTATCGCCATATTATATATGAAAATGTCATCTTAAAATTGTTATGGTTTATTATTAATTAAATAAAAATATATAGATATAAAATCGTGGCCATTAAAATTGCATACATGTGTATTATATTATTTATATTTGGCCTTCTAATAAAATAAAATGGTTTTTTTTCTATTGTGCCTTGCAATAGAGTAAATACCATATTATTTATAATTTAATTAATTTGTTTTAACTAAAACCAAACATTAGTTCTAACAATTAATGAATTATCATTTTTTAAACTATTTGTAGGCATATAGCAGGAAAATACGTAGTACCGGAACATCTAAATCACGTTTTGCTATTGATTTGAGAACCGCTGATGAACTAGAAATGGATCTTAAGAAAGTCGACTCTGAAGCATAATATTGCCATTGATAGCTTTATTTATTTTAGGCTTAAGTTTATAATCGTGTTTAATTTATGAATGTTTTTATATTGTAAAAATTGAAATATTATTTAAAGAAAAGAAATGTTTTGATACCTACTTCATGATTATTTAATTTAAGATTTTACTATGATTTTCTAATCATTACCTATTAGTATTAGTATTGAACTTAATTAGTTGTGATAACTATTAATAAATTTTAATTTAATAGTATTATAAAAAACATTTTTCAAATTTTATATTATAATGTGGTTTGTTGGTAATATTATTTTTATTTATAATTATTTTTTTATTATTATTTTTTCCGACATTGGTATTAAATATTTAATACACAGCTAAATTATTATTGTTTAATAAAACTAAAAATTTACGAGAACCTTATAAATTATAATCAATAATTGAACTGGAAACTTAATTATTTGTATAATGATAATGTAAAATACTATAATAAAAATGTGTCTTACTAATAAGATACTATTAATACATCAACGGTTCTCAACCATTTTATCATTATAAGTTTTCAAATTGGACATCTAACCAATATATTTATTATTACCAGGGCTCAGAAGTTTGTGCCCTAAAAATTGCCTAAATAAGAATGCATTTATGCATTAAAAATTGGCAAAACATGCCATAAAAAGTTGAAATGTATGCATTTATATGCACTAAAAATCTAAAATTATTTATTTAAAATATGAATATTAAAAAAATTATATCATTAATAATTTTTTGAAATAACAAGAATTTTCCATTGATTATATAAAAGTTGTATTTTGTTTTTAATATAAGAACATATATATAAAAAAAAATAAATAGATTTTAAATATTACTGAGTCTTCATGAACTTGCGTCAACTTCATTAAACTGATAAATCGAATGAATATTACAATGGCTACAAATATTTGATTTTTAATAATTTTATGTTGTAATCAAATTCTTATATAACAATAATCTTTTTACATCATAATTTGATAAAAAATGGGAACGTATAGTGGAAATTAGTTTATCATGGTATTTAATTTTGTTGCATCATATTCAAAAAGAAGCCACTGAGTGAGGAATAGGTAGATAATATAGGTAAAAATAATTAATATAACATAGAAAAATTTGTTACCTATTTTAGTTAAATTTTCTCTAATGTTAATAGGCCTTTCTGGTTGTACACCTATTTATTTAAAGGCGATTTTAAATCTTTTACATGATTTTTAAGTTCTCCAATGTTCTTATAATTTCTATTTGACCGGTGATTTCTTTTGCGTTTATAATTTTCTATGAGTTCGTCAACTTGGGTTCTTAAAGCACAAACTTCAGCTATGAGCTCATTGTGTACAGTATTTGATTCATTTATCACATCTTTTATATGTTTTAAATATTCTTCTTGTGTTAACTTATTAGCATTGTCCATTTCGATGATGTGGTATATTATTATCTGTATGTCTGTAATAACTGCACGAAAATTCAACCACGGATGGAAAAATCAAAAAGACTGAGACTCAAGAGATCTACTGTTATGCAATTGAATTGAACAGTGGATGAAGTACAGCGACAATTGAAAACTTGAACTTGCACGTTTACAGTTGCTTGCGTTAGTTTTTCGATACTGGAACTACAAAAAAAAAAAAAAAAACAATAATTATTAATAATGGATTTTGAAACAAAGAGAAATTTTTTCGTATAAATGATATCAAACTAATAAAAACGTTAAACGGTATTACACAAATAACGTGGTGAAAATTTCGTTTATTTACTACCTATGAGTTATAACTTATAACTGTAGTCTTCTTAGTTCTTGGTTCTTTTCCGCTTGAAACGGTTTTCAGTGATTACACGGACGAGGGACGAAAAGCGTCCTCTCAAGGTATATCTCAAATTGTATTTATTCAAAATAAATAATAAAATAATAAATATCCTTGCAGCGGTGAGAAGGATGTAACGACTAACGTTATGAAGTATGTATTGAAAATTGGACCTGATACACAAGTTTACGACACGCGGCAAACCAGTGTGACATTTATATACAATAGTTATAAATATTTTTACAGCTGGTTATACTGAATATTTGTTATTTCTATTGTTCCGTACACGTTGGAATTTTCACGCAGGCTCATGTCTCATAATAACACTAATAAATAATAACAGTCGTAACTCGTAACACAAGTCATAATCGTTTTAAATGCAACGTAAAGTACTCACGCGTGTTAACTATTTTTTAGTAAAACTTTTTACATTTTCAGTTTTCACTGTTGTTTTTTACTTTTAGTTGGTTACACAGTAAGTTGTATCAATTAACCATGCCATCGAAGAGTTGTGCTATAATTGGTTGTGACACTAAATACAACGATAAAACTACTCTTCGTCATCGGTTCCCCAAAGATCAAGCTATATTCGATATTTGGGTGAAAAGGTCTGGAAATAATAAATTATTGAATAAACCATTGGACTTAGTTTACAAATCATCTGTTATATGCGATAAACATTTTGAACAGAATTGTAGAAGCCCTGGATTTAAGAAACTTGTTCATAACTCAGTGCCAACATTGAATTTACCAGGTAAAGCCTATAGATACTTTAGTTTTATGTTTATTTAACTTTTAAGTTGATGTTTATTCTGTGGCATATTTATGGGGGGAGGTCCCCCTAAAAATATGTCAAAAAAGTCTATATAATACAGGGATGATCTCTGAAAAAAATGAGGTGAGGGGGTAGTGTTCAAAATTGCCAATTAAAATAATATTGACTTTTTTTTTGCTCTTTCTATGTTTTTTTTATCTGATGACTTTTTATTCTGTTTATGCATTTCCCCTATATTTTTATTACTTACATGTTCCACAGACATGATGTATGTTATTTCTTAAAGTCGACTTTAAGAAATCTATAGTTAACATATTTATCACTAGTATTGGTTTTTTTAAAATTTAAAATTACATAGTATGGTTTGATACTTATCAAATGTCGATGAATAAATGTACTTAACATTCTTCTATGTCAATCTGTCATTACATATAAAACGTTCAACTAGGTATAATCATATTATATGTTTGTATTTATCTAAATGTATGTTAAACAATATTATTATTATAGATACTTTGTACTATTTATTATTGTAATTAGAAATGTTGGTGTCGCTCATTTCTAATTATTGATAATACTATAATAGTAGTTAGTATTTTATCTTAAGCTACATAATACCTTAAATATTGTTATTGCATGAAGCTTTAATAGTTGATTTTATTAGTTAAAGTATAATGTACTTAATGTTTATAAATATTAGAAATTTATTAAGTTTTTTTTTTTTTTAAATTGCAATAATTGCACGAATAGTACAGAATATAATCATTTGTTTTTATGTCATTTCTCATATAAATTTGTATTTAGGTATGACTGAAGAAATTGCAAGCACAAAAAATTCTTCAATTATTCAAATAGCAGATGAGCTTTAAGATACCTTTTCCATGAACATACGCATTAATAATAATAATAATATTTTATTATGCACTGACACAAGCTATAATGAAGGTATTTAAATATAATATTTACAAATATTATCTATTTCATTTTATTTATTTATTTTTACTAATAGTTTTTTTCAAAGTTTAAGTAAAAGTATTTAGTTTTTTTTTTTTTTTAAATTACATAAATAGTATAAAATATATTAATTCGTTTTTATTCCATTACTTATATAAATTTATATCTAGGTATGACTGAAAAAATTGCAAGTACAAAAAATTCTTCAAATATTCAAATAGTAGATGAGTGTAAAGATACCTTTTTTATGGATATAAACATTAATAATAGTAATATTTTATTATACACTGATACAAGTTATAATGAAATTATTTAAATATAATATTTACAAATATTATTTATTTTATTTTATTTACTTCTGTTCCTATAAAATTTTCAACTATCTTTTATGAAAAATATTCAAAAAAAAAAAAAATAAATAAATAAGGTTTTGTTATGGATAAATTGTATATAAAATTGTTGCATTATTTTGACTTTAAATTGTTATTTTTTGTTTATTTAATTGTACTTTATTATAGCATATACTTGTGTAATGTAAAATAATAGTAAGAAAGTTGATGACAAAAAAAAAAAAATAAATAGTGTATACAATGTAAATAATTATTTTATTTATGCATTTTGGTTTTATGACTAAATAAATAATTATTGACATGTTGAATTGAGTTTATTACTTTATTTTATTCAGAATACTAATTTTTAAATTTTAGAATCATTTCCATTACTTTTATATTGATTGTATTTGTATAGTAATTAATTACGATAACCGTCGGGAGCGATAGAAACCAAACTTGGTATTAAAACGTTTCACGGGAGTTGTCTTAATATATTTTAATCTCTTTTCTATAAATCCTTGTTCCTTACTCATATCTGTTAAAATATATATAAGTCCTACAACTTGGTTTGAACTTTAAAATGATCATAATATTACGTCACAAATATTTAAGGGTTCTATAATTTAATATCTTCTATGGCGGAACACTGGAAATTTATTTGTTGATAATTCTTATCAGTTTAAACTATCGGATTTATCAAATTATCCGGTATTTGATTTCTGGTTTCGTATTATTTTGACAATCTGGGACATTCGTTAATTTATCTGCCATTTTAATGCACGTTTAGAAACATTAAAACAAAATAGTAAATATTGTTGCCTGTTATGTGTTAAGAATTAAACAGTTGACTTATTGCTACTTTTTAATTTTTCAAGTTCATTACTGGTTTTGACTTAATTGCATTTTAGTATACATAATACATACATAAAATGGTAATGACTTCTTTTTAATTATATCATTATTTACAAGTTATTCATATAAGTCTTTGATTGAAATTTTCATTATATTTTGTTTCAGTTACCTCTTTCATTACTCAAAACTGCTCAAAATCATCCAATGGTAAGCTCATGCATATATTATAACACTAACAAATAAGGATATTTTAATCTTCTGGTTCTAGTGTTTGGTAATAAAATATTTAAAATTTTAATATTGACTTATCAAGTTAATAGAATATACATTTTTTTTTTTAAATTGCTTTTGTATTTAACACACATAATATGAATACTAGGTCAGTTGGTGGTTGGTATATCTTTTTCATTTTTAACTAGTTTATGACTATATGTTTTAAATTAAAAATTTGTTTATAGTTGGTGGAATTAAAAAATGGCGAAACATACAATGGACATTTAGTAACATGTGATAGTTGGATGAATATCAATTTACGTGAAGTTATCTGCACATCTAAAGTATGTATTATTTTGAAAATTAATACTACCTAGTACTATTTTTAATTAGTATATGTAGATACCCTATATTGCTGTTAATACAGCAGAAGTATACTGCTAGACGTGGCACATCTTTACTTGTATCTTAATACTAGTTACAATTTGAAAATATAGTTAATATGAGATAGATTATGCATTTGGAATGTATCATAGTTCTTTAAATTATAGAAAATAAAGAGTTAATTTTCATAAATTAGGAAGTATTTATCATTTAGTTTTTAGTTTATTAGTTTGTTATCTTACCGTTAAAAAATAGTTGTTAATTTTTATCTTTTAGTTTATACTATAAGTAAAAATGTAGGAATTTTAAAAAAAATTTTTTTTATAATTTATATATTTTTCTTTGGTAGTTTATTTTTATTTTTATTGAAGTATTAATTATGTTATTGTTCATTAATTAATAGATGTTGATTGGTTGGTCATCAATCGTTACTTATATCAGAATTATTATTAATTTACTTGATTATATTATAAATATTCTATGACTTAGACCTCTAATCTTATAAGATTTGTTTGTACTTGTTTCTTTTCTACTCTATTGAGCTAAGAATTAAATTGTTTAGATTTTACATTGAAATATTATATTACTATTAAATTTAATTTTAGGATGGAGATAGATTTTGGAGACTTCCAGAATGTTATATTAGAGGTAGTATGATTAAATACTTAAGAATACCAGATGAAATATTTGATATGGTGAAAGAAGATATAGTTGTAAACAAAGCTCGTGGTCGAACAGATAACCAGAAAAATCGCGCTCCTAGAGGAGCTAGACAAGGTATAATATATATATTTAGAAAACGTTTTATTATTTTAATTTTTGACTGTTATTACTTATTAGGTACATTATGTTTTAATTTGAATGTTATAAATATCTTGTTATTATCAAAACTAAAACTGTATTTATTTTGTTTAGTATTATTTTTTGTTGAGATACAATAATATAATATTATATTATTTATACATAAAATGTATTTTCTGTTTTAGGATTTGGAGGAGGAAGAGGAGGTGGTGGTAACAACCGTGGTAGTGGACCACAACAGAGAGGTGGCCCGAATAAGTTTAGAGGAAAATAAATTGTGTATTTTATAAGTTATACTTATATGATATGTTTATATTTAAATTTATAAATGTATAATTTCAATAACATGTAATAAAAATTCTCATTTTTCTTGAATTAATTAAGAAAATTTAATCACTAAGAAAACAATATTAAATTTAAAAAATACTATCATAAAAATAACTATTATTAGTATTATTGTATTAGCATTAATATGAACTATAGTATTGTTTAAACCGAAAGATAAGACATTTAAATTTTTGGTAAACATTTAATTGATAAAAAGGTATAAATTTATTTTTAAATGTAATGTTAGTATACTGAAGACTGGATTAAAATAGTGAATCAGTGTTTTTAATTTTAAAATTTAAAAATTTAAATTTAAGCATGCAATAAAAACGAAAATATATTCAATTTGAACAATTGTGACTCAATCTTGATTTCCATTTATGTGAAGCAGTGTGTAGGTTATGAGATTTGTCGTTATAATATACACTCCATTCTTATATTTATTGATTATCCATCAATTTTGACATAAAAATTAGTTTAATAATGTTGATACTCAATGTATTTTGTGTAATTGTGTACTTTTGTCGTTTAATGTTGTCCACTTTTTTGGTGGAGTTATACGACTAGTGACTACTGTTTGATCTAAAAGTCTAGTGTTAGTTTTTGAATGTTGTTAGGTTAGGTTTTTCGAGTTCTCAGCAAGGCTTAATCTTTAATTTTTCTAAAACTTCATCCATAGTAGTGTAAAATATTTTAGCAGGTATAATTTTAATTAAGCTTAGCAAGCAATCTCGTTTTGATAAGACAGAAGAATCCTCTCTTGAGCAGAGGCACAGGTATAGACATAATTGACAATTATTATCTCTATTGACGCAGGGCTCGTAAGTTTATATATATAATACATATCAATCTCGCTAAGTCATGTTTAATAATGGTCGATGAAATGAAAGTTCATTTAAATGTATACATTTTTATTGTATAAATATTTCCTAGACATTTTTAGAATGATAGTTGCACGTATATCCAAATGTTTTTAAGTGAACAGAGTTACAAGTCTATCGATATTGATACCAACATTTAAAAAAAATTTGAAACTGTTAACCCAAAATTGTAAATATCAAAAATATCAATCGAGTAAATAATCAATCAATTAATGTTGATCATCAACAGTTAATGTAAGTGTAATTGTAAATTATCGACCAAGTTGTTTTTGAAGCATTTATTCTTAGAAAAAAAAAAAAGAAAATGTACAAGCCATTTGAATGAAAAAACACCCAATTAAGAATCAAAGGAAGTTTTCTCGAAATGTTTTTGTAGCCACTAAAGGAAAAAAAAAATTATCCCAAAACAAATGCAAAAACAAAAAAGTAAGTCTCATAAAATTATCTACTGTTTTATAATAATATTATGTAACACAATTTCAGATTTCTATCACTTGACGTTACCAACAATTGATTTGTTTGCTAATATTTTTTTGCGGACTTCATATATTATATTAATTTTATATTTACTCGGACAATCTTTAAAAAAAGTGACAGTTAATTATGTACATGTTTTTGTCCTAAGTCTGGAAATTAAACAAACTTAAGACATATACCTTTTTATTTATTTTTTTTTATTTACGATATAAAACAATTTTTGTCAATTTCAATAAAAAATACGGTAAATAAAAACATGCCATGTATGTATAATAATATTGTTAATATTATTAATTTAGTCTAAATAATATGTTTTGCTAACATAACATTCATACATTGTAAAATTAGGTAATAATAGCTAAGCGTGGGGAGAATAGGATATCATAATAAAAAGAATAATTTAGGCCAAATAAGTATAAATATGAATAAATAATACGTGAAATTTGAAATTTTACATACATAGAAAAATATTTAAAAAAAATAAAGGTGAGACTTTTAAAAACGTACACATAAATAAATGGATAAAAAAAAAAAAAATGATTATGTTTAATTGTTAAATTAGGTTTGAATTAAAATATAGCACCTAGATAAAGATTACATTTAAAGCTCAATTTAACCTAGTTAACAGATATTTTTTCAGTACTATAGGTAAAAATAATTTATATCAATAAAAAATAATACTTTTTAACTAAAAACGTACGTATAAAATGTTTATAGGTTTCTTGATAAATAAGTATAATTAATGTATCACTTAAACATAAAAATCATAAAACATACATTGTTTTTTTTGTATATCAATAGTGTTGCTAAAAAGCGAATAACTTCAATTTTTAAAACGCTAATATAAATTAAACTTCTTTACAAATAATTAGCAGAGCAATGTTTTAAAAATCACAAAAATGAAACACGATAAAAATAATAATAATAATAATAATAATAATAATAATAAATCAAATTTTATAAAATAACTATCAGTTATATAATTTTTTTCATCTTTTTTCTTTAATATGATAATACATCAAATCTAGGAAGTGGCCGTCTCAGTCTTTTTTGTGATGGGCGCTTTTGGTCTTCTGATTGGCCCTGGCATTGCAGGTGGTGTTACGGTTTTAGGTGCAACCTTTGCTTTTGGAGGCAACTTTGGAGGAGCCAAACTCATTCTTGATGCTAAAGTGACTGGTGGCTTTGTTGTAGTAGATGTTTTTGATATGTCGCCATTAGTTAATTTTGTGGTTCCATTTGTTGTAACGCTAGTTAACGGTTTCTTTATTGGAGCAGACACTGGACGACTTGAAGGTTTAGGCGAACCATTAGTAAGTGGTTGCTTGTTAACCAAGGACGACCGTGGTGTGACATTTGTTTTTGGTGTTGTAGCTGTTGACTTTGTAGCTGCTGTAGTTGTTTTTGGAGTTGTAGGAGTTTTAGGTGACGATATTGGTGTTGTTCTAGTTACAGTTGTTCGTGGTGTAGTGGGTGTTGTTTTGGCTGATATTGGCCGGGAGGCAGGAGTTGTAGTTTTGGGAGCTGGCTTTGGAGTAGCTTTAGTAACAGTTGTTGCTTTTAAAGATGTTTTTGGAGCAGTAGTTGGTCGAACATTAGTTGTTGGTTTAGAAGAAGTAGCAGTGGTTGGTCTGGATAATGGTTTTGATGTTGTAGTAGATAAAGTAGTTTTTTTAAGAGTAGAAGCTAATGGTTTTGAGGCTAATGGTTTTGAGGCTAAAGGTTTTGAGGCTATTGGTTTTGTTGAAGTAGTTTTTGTTGTTGTTTTAGTTTTAGAAACAGTTGTCTCTATCTTTTTAGGAGCAGATTTCTTGGAAGCCAAGCTGACACCAGTGACGGCTGCAATAGCAGCAGTACCAACAGCTGCCGCAACTGCAATTTCGGCAACCTAAAATTTATAAAATTTTTATTAGTTGATAAAATAAAATATAATTAATAATTATAAATGAATTAAGTATACCTTGTTACTATCATCTTGGTTGTCATTTTTTTCCTCGCAATCCTGGGAGGTTGAAATTGTTTCAGTTGTTTCTGTGTTGACTTCTATCTTTGGTTCACTTACTATTTCGTAATTTGATTCAGTAACATTATCATTTTTGTTTTGTACTTGTTCTTCAAGTTTATCATTAATATTTAACTGTTCTTCAATTTCTGGCTTATCAATAGGCTGGTCAAGTTGTGTGGTTTGTTTAATATCCTCACCAAAATAATCTGCACTTGTTTCCATTACATACAATGAATCACTCATGTTTCTGTTCTGGAAATTCTCTTCAAATGTCATGCTAGTACACATCATATCAGATTCATTTATTAATGTATTAGATGTTGAACAGTAAGGTTGTGGCATATTGTTTTCTACATCAGAATGAATTATCATCGATGATTGCATTTCTTCATCACTATCTGTTGTATGATTTTGAATGGATTCATTTTCTTGTTGCAAATCTTCACTATGCTTCTTTTCAAATTCATCAGAAATATTTTGTTCTTGTTTGAAATCTTCAACATAATTATTTTTGACTTCTGAAACATCTTGATATTGTTTAAAATCTTGAGTATAATTGTTTTCAACTAGATAATCATTGTTGAGTTCTTGTTTCAAACCTTCAGTATAATTATTTTCCACTTCTTCATTGTATAGGCCTTGTTTTAAATTGTCAACTTGATTGAATTGTGTTTCAGAAACATCATTAAAATATTTTTGCTCAATTTCTTCTGACCGAATCTGTTCAGTTTTGTCAACATCTTCTTCACATTTTTTAATAGCTTCAACAATAAACTCGTCTTCTTGTTTAGAATGTTCAATATTATTAGTAATTATATCAGCAACATTGTTATGATAATTTTGTTCGAAATTTTCCACAGAATCTTGTATAGTTGAAACATCATATTGATCTTCTTTTGAAACTTCAATGTTTTCTTGTATTGTTTTAGCAACATCATTATGTTCGACATTTTCAGTATTTTCTATAATTTCAAAATCATCGTCATGGTTTTGGATAATATTAATGGGTTGATCTTCATGTTTGATATCTTCAACAAACTTGTGCTCATAATTTACATTATTATGTTTTGGTTCTACATCTTCTGCTTGCACAGAATTTACACTGTTATTTTCATATTCAAAATTAAATGTATTACCAGGTTGAAATTCTTGTTCACGATCTTCTTCATGATACTTATTATCATCTGTATGAATTGGTATATAAGATTCTGGATTTTGTTTTTCTAGATCATCGACAACTTTTTTATGTTCTATGTGTTCATGTTGTACTTCTACATGACTATCAACAATATTGTCTGATTTAAAATGATCAATATTATCATCGATCTCTTGATTGCTTGATTTATTTTGAGTTGCGTTTAACAGAGCTTCATGAATGCTTGCTGAGAAATCAGATTCTGGCAGATACTGTTGCTCGTACACAGCATGAAAAGGTTTAGCTTCCTCTCTAATACATAAAGGTTCATCTACAGGTTCATGTTTTAATATTTCAGATACCTGATGTTCATTTACACTTTCATTAGGTATAATAACATTGTCACTATTATGATGTACTTCATCAACATCATGAGTAATATTAGGAATTATTCCAGCTGGATCTTCAGTTTGTTCAAAACAGAAAGGATCGTGATTTTCTTTGTCATTATTTTCAT